CATGTAACCCCTTTAACTTTTTATGGGGTGGGACCGCCACGAACTTCTTATGGTACACCACACCAATCGGTCGAAGCTATAATAAATAATTTCATATCGCGTAATTCAGGATTTGCGAAAAATTTTGAAATAATGGAAAATAAAAATACGACGAATAATACAACAATAGTAAAAATACTTAATCCGAACTGCAATAGATAATAATTTGAGAGGATTTATCAGAACTTTAAAACATATACTTCACGGGCTAGTTTTTGAATGGTTAAGGGAATACAAATAAATAATAATCAACGCGGATTAAAATCATACACGAATAAATAGGAGCCCAACAATAATATAATTTTATATTTTTCCACTGAAAAATTTTTAGAGAGGTATTACATATTATAGATAATAGGGAAGCGCCTTAACCAGAAATCAATTCCATTTCAATCGCTGCAAAATTATTTGTAAATTGTTTTGAAAATTACCTTTGTTTTTTCTGTATCACTAGTATATACCTAACAGTAAATAACAAAAAGTACCTAGGCAATTCGAAAAACTAATTAGTTCTATTTGCTCCCAATAACTTCGCTTTAACTAACCATTCAGTAAACAAACTGCAACGCGTGCCGTGGACGCGATGCCATTTATTTAACGGCGTTTTGTAGGGTTTGGACTGGGCTCGGTCATATATTCAGGACTCCAATTGGGACAATACTTTGAGCTATCATCCGATAACGGCTGCAATGATATATTGAAAGCCGCTAAACCTGCCGTACGAATCGTCTTCGTTCTTATGCAAATGCTTTTCATTTTTTCCTACAGTAACGTAAGTAAAAGTCGCGCAGCTTTCCTCAAGGTCACATCTCTAACCCTTTTGAAACGAGTTGTACCTATCTATCTATCTCATTGTGGAGAAAAATACGAAGTAGTTCATGATCTTTTTTATATTTAAGTTCATGGCTGTTCAAAAATCGAAACTCCTTGCAAAAGTCGGTCTAATGCACATGATTGCAACGAATCTGTGCGAGTGGTTGTACGTCCTGGTGCAGGAAACGCAACACGATATATTTCTGTCGGCAAAAAGGAGACAGGATAACGCCTTAAGAGACAATCAAACGCTGTCCGATGTGGACATACAGTTTCTGAGCTCAAAATCGTTTCAAATAACGAAGCAAATGATCGAAAATCAAAACAATTGCCTCAACTCCAATATAATGATGTCTATATTGCAAAAGTCTGAGCCGTATTTAGCCCCTTGCACAGTAGAATACAGCTTACTCTGTGCCGTTATTCTCGGAGTTATGTGGAAAAATTCCTGCCAAGATAGCCAGGACACAGGTAAGTAAATTTCCCTACGTAACGAATTTCTATGATTTTACTTAAATAATTGCAACTATCAATAGCCTAGCACTCAAAAATAATTATACAGGGGAGGTAAATTATAGTAGTCGATTTTTTTCTTGTAAGTCCGACAACTCAGGATGGAAGGGCCAGTAGAGATATAAAACAGAGGATAATGCAGGCTCGCGAAAGGTTAGAAATTCGGAAAAGATTGTTGTAGGTGTGTCTGGGTCTGGAACACGGGTGTTAAACGTAAACGGTGTTACAGGCGAATGATGAGGATATCGTAGATAGAGAAGGTTAGAAATGAACGGGTATTATAAAGAATAGAAGAACAGAGGACTCCATGGAAGTCAATAAAATATAAGAGAGATAAGTTAATAGGGCATCTTTTTAGGCATAAAAAGGTAGTTAGAGACATATTAGAAGCAGAAACAGGACTTAACAGGAATACAGGTAGACCCAGATTAGATTACTATTCACAAATAGTTTTAGGGAAATGCGATGATTAGCTCAGGATAGGATAGGGTGGAGATGCGCGTCTAACAAATCTTAGGACTGATAACCTTATGATTATTATAATTGTCTATGTAATGAAAATGTACATTGGAAACTAATAAAAATTTATTCTAAAGATCGAATTTATAGGAGAAAAATTTCTCAATATTATAGTGTGTAAGAACTTCAAAATTTTCGACTTTTTAGTTAATTTTATCCATAAAGTTAAGGATAATTGGTTTATACATAAAATAAGTGTACTAAATATTGACGTATCCTTTATAAAATTATTTAGAACAGGGGAGAACCTCACAGTTTTTACTTTACTTTAGATATACATATATTTTAACTTTGGAAATTAACAGAATATTCCTTTGTTTTTTTTTTAAGACAACGAAGTTGATGCAATGTTTATTCAAAGGGATAAGGGCCAGCGAATTCAAAGGCAAAACAAATTTTCTGTTGACTGTGCTGAAGCTCACAAAGGGATGTTTAGCGGTATAATGGTCTTGACTTTAACGACAACTAGTCTCATCATGTTTTTCGAACTCGTTTCTTACAAGCAATACAAAGATATTGCGGTACTACAGGTAAGTAAAAAGGATTCGCGTTTCGTCTTTACTAACAATTTTAAAAGATTCAGAATTCACTTTTTCAAAGGAATAAGAATTTTCTACATTTTTTTTTGTTCTGAAGTGTTTCACTTTTTGTAAGGGTTTTCACAGTCTAACAGTACAATTTAAACAGAAGAAACATTAAAGCACTGTTTAGTAAAGGGCTAAAAATTAACGACGTTGATAAATGATAGTGATAATCTCAAACTTATAAAATCAATAGAAATGACGATAATACTGAAGGCTACGTCCGTAACAGATAATAACAGGAAAACTGCAACTAAAGATTGTATACGTTGTCATAATATAAATTGACTCCCATTTTACTAGAAGTGAAAATTGAAAATTGGCCTCTATTTTCAAGGAAATTTACAATTTGAATATGTAACACTGTTGTTTGTTGTGGTAAACGAGAGATTTCAAAGAACCCCAAAGAAGAAACCTAATAACGTGGTCAAATCTGGTGAGCCAGTTGAAATGGCCGAAACGGAAAAGTCACTCAGAATTTGGTGCTTGCTACTTGCTGCCGATTCCACCAAAACAGGGTAACCTCGCACAGCTCCAGTAACCGTAAAGATTTTGAAACACCAATATTTCCGAGCTATGTGATCTCCCGTTTTGGCGATTTGAACTTGCCGCCCAGATCGCCAAATCTCGCGTTTACCACAAGAAACCACAAACCTTACATATCATGAAAGTCAACATTGAAGAAAATTCAGCAATTTAAAGTGAAAGGGTGGTCATTTCACATATCTCATTATATAACCTTAATGACAGCAAATTTTACATATTCAGATAATGTTTCAGTGACAGAGCCCAATTTTTTTCATTTTCAACAATATGGTAGTTAATCTTGTAAAATTGTTTTGTAAACTTTGATAATTGGAGAATCAGGTCAGCTTTATCAACAACTTAACTAAAGCAATTTAGCAAAATTTCTAACAGTAACGAGGTGATTTTGTGGGCGTTTTAAGCCAACTTCTTAAAAGATTATTTTCCTTCGTAAAAATCAATGGCCGAGCTTCTACGATCTCTTCCAGACATTAACCAACCAGTCTAAAGAAACTAATTCTCCGAGAAAAGAGAGAAAACGACATAGATCGAAACAATTAAGCAGACTTATAATATTTAAAAAAGGAAACCCCTTTAAACATCACATAATTGTTTCATTACAATTTCATAAATTTCTGAAAACTATCTTCAAAAGAGACCGATTTTTTTTTCAGGTGAACGTTTGGGAAGCGATATTATTTGCAACGGCCACGGTGGCTGCCGTGATGTGCATTGTTGCCCTGAGGGACGTAGGGTTAAGGACGACCGTCGTCGAACTCGAGCTCGAACATTTGCTCCTTCTTGTAACCCAAAGTGGTCTTTTCATGTATTTTCTGTTTCAAGTAATCGGGGCCGCTCTTATGGGACTTAACAAAGGACGAGGTGGCCTGATGAGGTAAACAAGGGCGTGAATCAAAAACTACCATCGCCCTTGGGAATACATTCGCCCACATTTATCTTTAACTATGTTTCAAGGGTACAAAATATAAGAAAAATACACTCCAACGCTTAAATGAATGTTCTGCATTTAAAAAGTAGAAAACAGTGCCGAGAGTATGAGATTTTTTCCATTAATTACGGCATTTGATTTTTAAATTTACTTAAACGTTTCTGGCCTCGCATGGTTATTAACTCTACTAGTCAAATATGGAGTAAAACTTTTTTATAAACTATCTTATTAAAAGAAAGAATGAATATAAAGATAGGAGACGAAAGATTAGAAAAAGTGGCTGATTTTGGATATCTGGGAACTCAGATAAGTCAGGACGGAGGGAGTAGTAAGGATATAAAGCAGAGGATAGCGCAGGGTCGTGTCGCCTTTAATAAAAAGAAGTCACTTCTATGCTCGCAAACGGTTAATTTGGAAATTCGAAAAAGGTTTTTAAAGGTGTATGTTTGGAGCGCGGCGTTGTACGGGTGCAAAACATGGANAATGGCCGAGCTTCTACGATCTCTTCCAGACATTAACCAACCAGTCTAAAGAAACTAATTCTCCGAGAAAAGAGAGAAAACGACATAGATCGAAACAATTAAGCAGACTTATAATATTTAAAAAAGGAAACCCCTTTAAACATCACATAATTGTTTCATTACAATTTCATAAATTTCTGAAAACTATCTTCAAAAGAGACCGATTTTTTTTTCAGGTGAACGTTTGGGAAGCGATATTATTTGCAACGGCCACGGTGGCTGCCGTGATGTGCATTGTTGCCTGAGGGACGTAGGGTTAAGGACGACCGTCGTCGAACTCGAGCTCGAGCATTTGCTCCTTCTTGTAACCCAAAGTGGTCTTTTCATGTATTTTCTGTTTCAAGTAATCGGGGCCGCTCTTATGGGACTTAACAAAGGACGAGGTGGCCTGATGAGGTAAACAAGGGCGTGAATCAAAAACTACCATCGCCCTTGGGAATACATTCGCCCACATTTATCTTTAACTATGTTACAAGGGTACAAAATATAAGAAAAATACACTGCAACGCTTAATTGAAAATTCTGCATTTAGAAAGTAGATACGGTGCTTGGAGTACGAGATTTTTTAATCTCAATTCCGATTCAAAAAATGACGATAAACGGAACTAAAACTAAGCATTTAACACGTAATCGGATGAAGACTTATGTTTCATCATTTTTAGTAATAACTTTTCACAGCGACTTTTTTTTCATAAGCTTTGTGCTTTGTTGATTTTTTTATCGTAGCAGTTCGGGGACAGTCAGCAAACTCCCCAGTTTAATTTATCTATTCAAAAGTATGAAGTATGAATACTTATTTTTCCATTACGCCATTTCATTTTTAAATTTACCTGAACGTTTCTGCCTTCGCATGGTCATTAACTATACTAGTCAAATATGGAGTAAAACTTTTTTATAAACTATCTCATTAAGAAAGAAAGAATATAAAGATAGGAGACGAAAAATTAGAAGAAGTGGCTAATTTTAGATATCTAGGAAGTCAGATAAGTCAGGACGGAAGGAGTAGTAAGGATATAAAGCAGAGGATAGCGCAGGGTCGTGTCGCCTTTAATAAAAAGNATTAACTCTACTAGTCAAATATGGAGTAAAACTTTTTTATAAACTATCTTATTAAAAGAAAGAATGAATATAAAGATAGGAGACGAAAGATTAGAAAAAGTGGCTGATTTTGGATATCTGGGAACTCAGATAAGTCAGGACGGAGGGAGTAGTAAGGATATAAAGCAGAGGATAGCGCAGGGTCGTGTCGCCTTTAATAAAAAGAAGTCACTTCTATGCTCGCAAACGGTTAATTTGGAAATTCGAAAAAGGTTTTTAAAGGTGTATGTTTGGAGCGCGGCGTTGTACGGGTGCAAAACATGGACAATGGGCGCGGCGGAAAAAAAAAGGTTAGAAGCGTTCGAAATATTGTGTTAGCGGCGAATGATGAGGATAACGTGGATTGAAAAGATTAGAAATGAAGACGTATTAGAAAGAATAGGAGAACAGAGGACTCTATGGAAGTCAATAAAAAATAGGCGAGATAGGTTGGTAGGACACCTTCTCAGGCATGAAGGTCTAGTCAGAGACATATTAGAGGCAGAAACAGTAGTTAGGAGGGGTAGAGGTAGACCTAGATTATATTACTGTTCGCAAATAGTTAATGATGAGGGTTGCTCTAGTTTTAGGGAAATGCGAAGTTTAGCTCAGGATAGGAAAGAGTGGAAGTACGTGTCCGACCTTATGATAATGATCTTATTAAATTTATTTTGCACTAATATTTTCTTTTAGAAATGTTAAAATAATAATTATTGTATTATAACTTTTTTAGGAGTAGATCTATCATTCTAAACACATTTAAATAGTTAAACTCTTAAAAAACAGCGGTGTTTCTATTAATTTTAAACGAATGTGTGTTAATACAATTTCGACAAATTCCTTAATATAGTCCTGTTACAATTATAGAATAATAACGCCTATAACTGCCCTCATCCAAAGCTGCTGTCAAACAGTATTGATTTTGGATGCATGGAGGCGTCACTGTACCACCTCATCACAAATTCGGCAGAAGCCTGCGAGGCAATTGATCACTTTTCTTTTGCTAGTCAACATATCCCTGTGGATTGTCAACAGGTAAGGAGCAAGAAGTAGTTTTTCCGGAGGCGTTTCTCACAACCCAATTACGATTCAAAAATAGGGACAATTTTATTTCACAGTGAAATTGATGTACCTGTATTTTTCTCCTTCCTTCGTCGAGAAAATTTCTTCTTTCCACTTTTATCTCTACATATATTGACATTTATCTTTTTATAAAAATTACCAAGATACGATAAAAATACAAATGAGCTAGAAATTGTTTCGTTAGAGGCACCATATTATAGAAACATCAATAGAAATTCAATTAATTTTATAATCCACAATATATAATATTTTAATACTATATTATACTGAATTATGCTTTATTTAAAATCATCAATTTCTGGTTNAAAAAAAAAATAACATTCATATATATGAAAAATCAGAAAGGAAAACATTGAACGTATGAAAATTATGTAAAAAAAACTTAAGTGAAATATTGCTTGTGGCCCGTGTACTTTGATTTATATATTCTTTATGGATAAAAAGTACATTATTTCTGAAGCAGTAGAGGTCGATTACGGTCAATAGCCTATAAATTTTACACACTAAAATAAATTTTGAAGTGAAATTACTTTTATAACGTAAAAGAAAAATAATAAAATGCCTTATCACCATTCTCCCTTTAGTTTAATTTGACCTTTTAGTGCCTCAAGAGAAAATTTAAATCGAAACATCTATGTACTTAGCAATCAATCTTCAATCACATTCATTTTCATTATCAAAAGATCGTCAGTCTTTTCCTAAACCTAAAACATCCAACATCCTTAACTATTTGTTTAACAGTAATCTAATCCTGGCTCTACCTCTATTCCTGTTAAGTCCTGTTTCTGTTTCTAATATGTCTCTAACTAGCCCTTCATGCCTAAGAACGTGTCTACTAACCTATCTCGCCTATTTCTTTTTGACTTCAATAGCGCCCTCTATTCTCCTATTTTTTCTAAAATCTCCTCATTTCTAACCTTCTCTATCCACGGTACACTTATCATTCGCCTGGAATACCAGGGACTTCTTATTGTTAAAGGCGATTCGACCCTGCGCTATCCTTTGATTTATATCTCTACTGCTCCTTCCATCCTGAATTATCTGACCTCCTAGATACCGAAAATGAAACCGAAAATCAGTAACTTCTTCTAATTTTTCTTCTCCTCATTGCATACTTTTTCTTCCCTTGCATACCAATATTTTTGTTTCTATACATTTTATTGGGATATAATTTCTTTTCAGGATAAAAAATAACAGGGCCTTTTCTCATCCAAATCAAATGGACTTTTACGGTGTTCTAGCTTGGAATATAATAACCCATGTAACAATGCCACTTGTTGTATCATACAGATTTCAGTCCACGGTATGTTTCTATGAAATTTGGAAAAAGGTTTACAAATCCCGCTCAAGTTTTGACGACGGCAACAGTAATGTAGAAGACGACCCCTGAGTTACGTATTACGAGCAAAAAATATGTAAATCTAATATGTGCGCACATAAATGTCTGTGATGGAAATTTTAACAAATAGGTACACAACACATGAATACATTTTTGTTAATATACATATGTTTATGTTCCTGAAATTATACAATTGTCCAATGGTGATGTTCTTTTTTATTTCTAACATTATATTGTAAAAACAAAAAATTTATATATATCTTGAAATAAAGTGAAGAATAAATAAAAGTAGGTACTATCTTTCTCGAATAAAAAAAACCATATTGTACACGCATGAACAAACAGGATGAAATTTCTAAGATTTATTCAAGTCATTAATTTCATCCCCGACATAGATGTCTGTTTGTGGAAAAGAAATTTTTACGTATTACAAACGAGAAGTAATTTACTGAAGAACTGGATTGGATAAAAATTTATTTGAATAAATGAAATAAACTCAAATTTGTATTCTCTCTTTCTCCAAATATGTATGTACCGTGGAGAATTATTGTATCCTTATTCCTTAATGTAACTAGACATAACCAGTCTATATCGCTGAGCTTTTTGAGGTTTTTAAAATGCCGAAGTAGGTGTTTGATTAATCATATTAAATAATAAGAGCATTAAGACCAAGTTTCACGTAAATCTGACTACAAATAATAAAAATGTTCCATCCAAACTATTTCACCCTTTTCACCCCCATATGGATTAAATTCCGAAATATCCTTCCTTATTCCTTGTATTAAAGTTAAGCAAACGTCTGTTGTTGTAACATACAGTCAATTATTCCTCACTATTACAAGACAATATTAGTACATGCCACAACACCTTCAGATATTCCACCCTAAGAGAACGTACCCATACTACGTGACCCATAAGGGGGAGGGTTGTTTTTGTTTTCAAAAATACCACGCTTCGTCACACGGTAAATGAGGGCTTAGGTTTTCGTCACGTAGTCAATATCCTCTAGGAAAATTTCATGCTTTTTCGAGCTATATTTGAAGGTTTCTGTTTGCAAAAAACTATTCAAAAGCATATTTATGAATTATTACGGGAAAACTAGCGAGAAATAGGGGGATTTTGGCATATACTGCGGGGGTGGTCACGGGAGAGGAGGGGGTAAAAAATTGTAAAACATGGATCACGTAGTATGGGTACGTTCCCAAATGTGCCTATTGTATATTACGGCAGTTCTTGTTTCGTTTTAATTTTATTTAGAAACTTGAAGATTCGTTTTCTAAAAGAAAATACATGACATAGAAAATACATTAAAGTATGTCAATGTAATTTCAGTACAAAATACCGATGTCGGACAACTGCTTTAAGAATTTCAATAAATTTTATTAGTTCATTTAATTTTTCTTTCGCATGTTAGGTATGTGTAGAAACTCATATTGGATGAGAACAGTAGATCTTACAATACGTACGATTCCGGATGTCAGCATTTGTGAGTAAGCTCGAAAAGGAAATGAAAATAACCAGTACAACATAAATCATGCGTGAAGGAATCGCAGTGACAGAACAAAATCTCTATGTATCTGAATTAGAAAGAAAGTCGGGACAGTTTTCCCCCCCCCCTCTTCGCATTTCCACCTAGCTCTTGGTCTATGCGCTCAAATAAATCTGTGTTATTTTCCAAGGAAACACCTGCTACTGAAACCATTCCCGACAACGGTCTGAACTGACACGGCTCTATCTCTCTCACTCTTTCTCATCGTTTATTTTATTGTTGGCCGTCTTGTTACAAAAAGGGCGAAAAACAAACTTCTACAGAATACCCACGTAAAACGCTTTATCGTTATATAATCTGTATCTATCAACTCGATCGCATCTAATATGAAAGAAATACTTTCAGCAAACATTCGTTTCTTAGTTTCCCGGATTTTCCAGTGTTCAAATAAAAAGTAAACGTAGAAACTTAAGTAGGTTATAACTGAATAATATCTTAGTATATACAGTACGCTCCTTATTTTGTATAAAGAATAAATTCGTTATAAGGATAATTACAAATTTCTGGGGGAAATCCTTCCTTGTTTTATGTAATATGTAAAAACATAAAGTCGCAACTATGTCTAATAATAAGTGATCAAGCATATTAAATGTTTGTAAATTCATTTAGAATATTTTTGATTTACAAATATCAAAAGAACAAAGAAAATGCAATAAAAACTTTTGATAGATATTTACAAAGATGACGTTGATGCCGATATATTCGAACAATAATTTGGAAACATTTCGTTCTTTCTCTTTTCCTTTCGAAAGACGTACTATTTAGAATTTTCGGGGTGACAATCTGAAGTTCATTACTATTTAAAGTAGTTTAATAAAATAAGTTTGAATTTCCAATTGCGTACGTTTGGTTTTACTGTCCGAAAATACATGGCACAAAATATAGGCATCCAGAAACTTATTCTTTAATACGCCCTCCCTTGTCACTATTCATTTTCCGTCTTAGGGAAGCGTCGGCGTCAGTCAGTTATAGAATTTTCACATTCCTACTTCTTCAGTGAGAGATTGTCTATGGCATTTTATTTACAAAACAGAAACGGGGAGCAATTGCTTTCCCCCATGAATAAATCATAAGGTTATATAAAAGTCAAATTTTGAAGCCAAATCACGAAACGTCCGATGCCGCGTGCTCCTCTATCTTTTCACACCTTCCTTCCTATTTCAACGCGCACTAGCGGATCTGAAAGGGAGTCTAAGGGATGTTTTGCCCCCAAAACCAAAATACAGTGTAAGCTCTTTATAACGTCAGTCGATTTAACGACAAACTCCTTAAAACGTCGAAATTGCTTGACTTTGGTTGGTTTACATTGTTTTCTATACAATATTACACTCTATATAGCGTCACGCTCACTCTATTTAACGACAACAATGCGGCATTATAAACCATTAAGCAGTACTTTCTAAGTTGCCGAAATAGATAAGAACTGCAGCTGTGTACGTTGTTGAAGAAGACGATCCTGTCCCTCCACCAAGCATCAAACAAGCACTTGATGCAGCGAAACTATTAAAAAAATACTTTTTATATAATCAAATTGAT